AAATATTTACAAAGATTCAAATGTGGAAATTGATTTAATAATAGATCAATCACCGAATATTCAAATGCCGGATTTGTTCCGGATCCACCGTCGGTAGTACGCGACTTCGGTGTAGACTCCAGGATATCCGGGTTGAGCGCATTCAAGTCCCCAGGAGACAATCCCAGCAAGACGTCCATCAATGGCCAGAGGACCACCAGAATCACCTCCACAGGCATCCTTTCCACCTTCCGGATAACCAGCGCAGATCTGACCCCTGGGAACACGAGTGACTCCAGTGAAGCAAGAGTGCTTGGACGTGATCGGCACCTCAACAATCTGAAGGAGATTCTCCTCCCCCTTCGCCGGGACTTTCTCCCCCATTTCACCCCATCCTGTGACGACCCCGACGGATCCGACGACAGCCGCCTCGCCCTGATTGTACATCTCGATCGCCTGGACATTATCATCGAACTCGAAAGGCACCTCCACCCGGATCAAAGCAATGTCATTCACCGGAAGGCCATCGAAGTCTAGTATGTAACGCTCGTGGACTTTGTATTCCGCCATCGGGTGGATTGATCCCCCATCCTCGTGATTATTGCTACCAGCCCGAATCGTATAGTTCGTGTCAGGATCGACGCAGTGAGCTGCGGTGATCACCCAATCCTTGGAGATGATACTCCCACCGCAGTTGTGATCGCCATCAATTTGGATGCTGACCTGGTAAGGAACTCTTGCTATGCTCGTCGTATCGCCCCCCACGATTCGGCTATTTGGGTTGAACCTTGCGAATGGATGCGCTAGAATCACGAATCGATTCCTCAGAGAAAATCAAATCCCAAAATTTCAATATTTCAATGGAATTCGACAATTTTTTGTAATAACACCAAAAGTTTCTGTGACCAAATAAGTGATTCCTCCCAAAAATACCCTGCAGCATTCCCAAAATAAAATTGAAAAACGATTTCATTCCATTAAAGTTATTCAAAGCCTGAAGACTCTTACAGAAATATAAAATAAATAACGTGATGGATCGGCAAATACGAGCGATAACCTGAGAGAAAAATTCAACAATCTAATTGTGTTCTAGAGACAATCTTGCAGTGAGATTTTTCCACCTGTCTCAGATATTGCGAGATATGACGGCATTATGCCTCTTACCAATAACGAGAGCGACTTCAGTCACCAAGAGGACAAGCCTCACAATTCTAGCGTTCTCAGCATTCATTGCAATTCCCAACTGACGACTGCCCTACCAATCCTCCAATTTATATACTCACTCACTCGATAATAATCACAGCCAGGAATTCGCTATCAGATGAAAGAATCCACAATTTCTAAATGATTTGGAAAACCCAGGAGCCTTATCAGGGCGCCCACTCGAGAGCAGGAGAACATCTGATGAATCAATCGCAACAAGGTGTACGCACATTTCAACACTACGTCATATATTTTGTAATGATTACAATTAGAAAATGAACGATTGATTAAACCCCACTGTTGGATTTGATCCAGAAACGATAAGCAGCGACCTCTGTGTAGACCCCGGGATTCCCCGCGAGGGCGCAGCCGTAGCCCCAGGAGACAATTCCAGCGAGACGTCCACCAATGGTGAGAGGTCCTCCGGAGTCACCCTGACAGGAGTCCTTTCCGCCGTTGGGGTATGCAGCGCAGATTTGCCCGTCAGGAATGCCACCGTACTTCTTGTAAGCCTTTTCGCAAGCAGCTTTGGAGACGATGGGAATATTGACGACTTGAAGAACCCTAGCTGTTCCATTCTCCGTCCTGCCCCAGCCGCTGATGGTGCTGGTGGAATTGGGCAGTGACTGCTCACCCAGTCCGAAAAGTTTCACTGCTTTTCGGGTGCTGTTGAAGGTAAACGGCGGAGTGACCTGGACCAGGGCGATGTCGTATGTTGGAATTCCTGCATCGGTGCTGTTGTACCCTTGATGCCGGATAATCCGCGTCACATTGTGACGGGTTCCTCCTTGTTGATTGAACGC